CGCTGTTCTGAGTGGCATTTCCCACTTCTTTGGAGAGCCATGTTCGACAAAGCCAAGTCACTAAGGGTTGGGAAGTTTTAGCAGAGTTCCTGAAGGGACACCAAGACACCATTCTTTGGGTCACACCAAAGAGTGAGCATAGTAGAATTGGCTCACCCACTCCAAAGCCATGATAATAGGGTGAGGAAAGAGCGAGAGAGATGGTGAGAAAATATTTTTAGCATTACCAACCAGAAGAAAGTATCTTTACAAAGCGTTTCCAACAAGGTAACTGGAAAAGTATAAGTGGTAAGTGAGAAACTTTTTGAGTCACAGCCCTTCCATGAAAGGTTGAGTTCTGCCAACTTACTCTACCTGGGAAGGAATGTTATGTTAGGTATATGTTTCAACTTACTTAGTTCATCAGAAAGCTGTGAGGCTTTGCATTCAAATGTCAGCACAAGCCTCCCTGAGATAGTGAACAGATCCGTCTTGCTATGAAGTGCAAATTGAGGGACTTTGATTAGCTTTAGGGAGGGGAAAACATCTGCTGAGGGCATACAGAAGATAAAGAAGCAATAGGATGATCATTTGTCTAAAGGTCTAAAACAGTATGGGATAGAGATTAGCTGCACGAGTCCTGGATTCAGAGCCTTGGATTCAAATCCAGTTGTTATTTACTAGCTAAGTTAACATACTTAAGTTCTTCTTCCTGTATTCCTGTTAAAAAAGTAAGGACAGGAAGAGGCGTGAGCTTCCATGTCAGTTGTGAGGATCAGATGAAATAACCCTTGTAAAATGCTTAGTGCCCTGGCTGGCACATAATAGATGCTCATTATTAAATGCTAGCTGCTCTTAGCTTTTTTTTAAAAGGTCAGTGGACTCAGAAGTTCCAGTTAAAAAGTATGTGATTTGGGGCCACTTATATTCTCTCTCTGTATCTCAATTCCTCACTTACAAAATGTAGATAAAAATAGTCCCTTACAAGGATTAAAATGGCTATTATAAAAAATCAGAAGGTAAGTATTGATGAGCATGTGGGGAAATTGGAACCCTTAGGCACTGTTGGTGGGAATGTAAAATGGTGCAGACTTTATGGAAAATAGTAGAGCAGTTCCTCAAAAAATTATATGAAGAATTACTATATGATCCAGCAAATGTACTTTTGAGTGTATACTCAAAATAATTGAAATCAGGGACTTGAAGAGAGACTTTTATACCTATGTTTATAGCAGCATTACTTACAACAGCCAAGACCAATAGTGAAAGGAACGAACCCAAGTGCCCACTGACAGAAGAATGAATCAACAAAATGTGGTGTGTATATATGTCCAGGGAATGTTACTCAGCCTTGAAAGGCAAGGGGATTCCGGCACATGCTGCAATGTGGGTGGAACTTGAAGATGGTTATGCTGAGTGAAATAAGCTAGTCACACAAGGACAGGCCCTGCGCGATTCGTCTTCCTGAGGCGCCCACAGAGACAGAAAGGAGAATGGCTGTGAGGGGGCAGGGGAGGAAGGAACGGGGGGTCAGCGTTTCCTTCAGTTTGGGAGGATGAGAGACTCCCAGAGATGGATGGCGATGACAGTTGCACAACAATATGGATGAACTGGATGCTGTTCAACTTCACACTTAACAATGGTTAAGATGATGAACTTCATGTTTTGTTATATTTTATCACAATAAAAAGGAGTTGACATGTGTCGAATGTTTAGATTATTACCTGCACTTAGCATAAGGCTTTGCTATGATGATAATCATGAATACATGTATCAGTATTATATTTTATTCTATATCTTTGTTCATTAGCCCTGTGGTATGGCTGCATAAATAAGTACTTTCTGTCTCCATAAGGATAATAATCAGCCAAGAGTCAAACAGAAGATTAGCACTCAGCCTAACTTACCTGCCAGATTCTTCAGAACACTGATTTTTAACGTATGAGAAAAACAAATATTAATGACTTTCAATCTCTATCTTTACAAGCAACCTGATAGCATCAAAATAGAGGATAGATATGCAGGCAGATTAAACTGAGGGCTTGTTTTTTCCAGTAAGAATTTCTTAAATTCAGTAAGATGCCTACTGATAGAATAGGAAGAACTTTGAAAACAAATAAAATACGTCATCCCATCATTAGTTAAGAGATTAAGAAGAATGTGCAATCCATGTGGCTGAAAGAAATTGCTCACATGCTAAAGCTAATAAATTATGGCAATTTTCAAATGATAAACTTGTTGAACTTGTGGGTGACTATGTGTCCCCACTGACAGTAATTCCTAATGCTGAGGAGAAAAAGACATTGACAGGCACGTTTGACTTTGCTAATTTCAAAGACAGAGGCTTGTTTCTGGGATGTGCCTGAGAACTAGGGCCATTGTGAGCAAAGCAGCCAATGAGCCCGCCGAGTCAGAACAGAACCTTAATGTTTAGTATTTGTGTTGACTGGCATGTGGTGGAGCTGAAGAAGTGAGGGGCAGGGGTCAAGTGTAAGGCGCTAGACTGTCTAGTCCACATCCTGGTACGGCCATTAACCAGCCGTGAGATCTTGGACAAATTACTCATGGAAACTCAGTTTCGTCACCCAAAACTGACAATAATAACAACTCTTGGGTCAAAGCTGTTGTGATATTAGATAATTAAAATTAGATAACAGACAACAATTTTGATTATTAAATAATCACATAATAAATTCAGTAAGAATTGGCAAATACATCTGCAACAACATGGATGGATCTAGAGGGTATTATACTCAATGAAATAAGCCAGGCGGAGAAAGAAAAATACCATATGATTTCACTTACTTGTGGAATATAAAAACAAAGCAAAACAGACGGAACAAAACAGCAGTAAACTCACAGACACTGAGATGTGTCTGGTGGTTACCATGGGGGAGGGGTTGGTGTGGGTGGGTGGGAAGGGTGAAGGGGGATAAGGGGACCCAAAAATTCTCCTTCATAATACAAGTTGGTCACGGGGATGGTAGTACAGCATGGAGAATAGAGCCTATGGTTCTGTAACATCTCCCTGTGTTGACAGATAGTAACCGCACTAGAGGGTGAGGATTTAATAATATGGGGAACTGTTGAACCACTGTGCTGTGTTGTATTTTCGAAACCAATATAAGATTGTATATCAATAATACTTCAATAAAAAATAGAAAGAATTGGCAAATAGCTACTAACAAATAAGATTATGCATGTAAATTGTTCAATGAACATTTGTGGCGGTAGTGGCGGTCACCACCATATAATTAACGCCACTGATGATGATGGTGACAAGGGTGACAATAATAAAGGAGCAAGGAACCTCTCAGCTTGCTCCAGTTCGGTCACAAACTCTCTGGGGCATGCTGGGTAGGTCTCTAAACCTTACTTTACCAGGAAGGCTTTCAGCAACTACTAACAGAAAGCCCAATTTAAAGTGACTTACAAAGTAATTGATTATGGAGAGAGAGGGCTGCTCACATAGGCTCAGAGCTCAGTGACCTACAAGCTAGTCTGTGAATCCCTTTGCCCTTTTTTCATTGTAGTTGCCTCAAAGTCACAACATGGTTGCTGTAGCCCCAGACACCATGTCTGAGTACAAGCAGGAGCAAGGGGAAATGGGTGGTGGCACCAGCTACATTTGTCTTCTTTCATTAGGAAAGCAAAAATTTATCTAGGGACTCTAGCAAAATTTGCTTGCAGCCTATTAGGCAGAAATGTGCCAAAGGCTACTTCTTGCTACAAAGAATCCTGAGAAACAAGTATTTTGCCAGCACATGGCTGCTTTGAACAGACTGGTATTGTGAGAGCAAAGACGGAGGATACAGATGTAGGAACTACACTTGCACCTGCCCTCCTGTTTTCCATTTAGAAAATGGGGACGCTGGATGCTAACGTACAGGATTTTTCTGAGAATTACATCCTCAAGTAGACAGTAATGACAGCACAGACCTCCATTTCAGCATGCTACTATGTTATAATTGCACATAGTCAGTCTCCTAGATGAGGGCTTAGCAGTTACATTACATGGACCAGATCCAGTGGGTGGGCTGTTTCTGTAAGGTCACTTACAAAGTGAGTTGAGAATCATACATTTGCATCTATAAAGGGTAACCAAAACAAGCAGACAAGAAGGAAGCATATAGATCCTAAATGGCCCATGAAGCCTAAAAATATTTGCTTTCTGGCCCCTTACAGAAAAACTCTGTGGGCTTCAGTTCTGCTCTGTGGACTTCTGGAGAGTAGGGTTGGCACTGTCTTTAACTTTGCGTCTCTAGGACAGTGTCTGCCACATACTACATGGTCAATGGAAGTGTGACGAATGAATGTAGAATCAGTGGCATTACAGAAATAAAGAAACTGTGCACCAATGTTTTATGAAGTGTTTCAGATGAACAAACAGCTTTCACACAATTTCACTTAGTTCTTGTAACAGTCTTGCCAATACCCAAGTTTCCTCTGTGAGTGAACCCTGCTCAGGGCTTGAAACCTCAGCTCACAGGTACTTTCCCTCCCGCTGCTCTCCTTGGGCCTGACGTTGTAGAGGGGCATCTGAAGGGCGGTCACCTTGTTGACTTATTTCTCTTATTTACTCTCATGCTGGAAGCACCATGAGGCCTGGGCTTCTCTGTTTTATTCACCGCCTACTCAATCTTTGGGCCTCAAAACATACTTGTCCAATAAAGGAGTGAATGAATTGGAGCCCTCCCATGTTAGAGTACGTGGGATCATGGTTTAAGCGGCAGCCATGTTTTCTCACCTCATGTGTCAGAGGTTGTTTTGAACTGTTTACCTAGCTCATTTTCCTAAAGACAGAGTTATTCCTTGTGCTCTTTGTGCTTGGTGGGCTGGTTCACCTCTGAATTGCCATACACAGCTGAGGCCGCCGGGAACTGTCGTTCCCTGACTGATTGGAAAATATGTATGTGGACCCAAGAGCTCTGTTTTCAGTGCATGTACAATAGAGGTACCAATCCCTTCTCCCTGCCAGATTCCTCACATATAAATGCCAGCTACTTAATTAATGAACTCACCCTTATCAAATGGCGTCTGAGCATCCACTGTGCCAGGCGAAGTGCTGGGATTCACTGGTGGCTCTGGCTCTAGAAGGACGCATTCTAGATGGGGAGACAGGTAACAAATACATGAATTTCAAGCGGCCCCATACATTTGGGCCATAAGGTGACATTTTGAAGTTGAGTTTGTATGTTTTGAATGGTACCTTGCAGCACTGCCAGGGAGCCAGCATTTTAATGGGAGTTGTTAATCAGGGGAGAATTTGGTTAAACATACTAGCTATCACCTCTTTGGAGTGTCAACCACAGGACATTTCATTGCTCTACTAATTGGTTTTGTTTTTCTGGTGAGACATCTACAAGACAGTTGGTATCGAAACACTGGCTACAGCCGTGGGTGGGGTGCGATGTCAGGTCTCAGCCGCCCTCTGAGCCCTTGTCAGTACATGCAAGTAACAGCATTGCATGGGATTTAACAGGAGTGACACTCAATTTTAAAATAAACTGCTTGTTTTGGAATCATTTTGGATTTACAGAAAAGTTGCAAAGATAGTACAGAGTGCCTGTATATCCTTTACTCAATTTCATCTGATATTAACATCTTACGTAACTGGTACATTCGGCAAAACCAGGAAGTTAACATGAGTGCATTGTTCGTAAGCTCCAGACTGTGTTCGGATTTTACCAGTTTTCCCACTAATGTCTCTTCTGCTACAGACCTGAATAGCGTAGTTAGTGTTACTTCTTTTGGGAATAAAGAATTATATATTAGATAGGAGACCTTTTTTTCTTTTAAAGTCTATCAGTATTAACTTGCATAAAAAAACTACCAACATTTGGTGACCAATTTCAAATTTGTTTAACTTTCACGAGAATGTATGCGTGTCAAAATAATTCACAAAATTTAACATAGAGACTGACAAAGACAGCTGAATTATTTAGAAGAATCAAAAGCACAAACCTTTTTGTAATAAGCATTAAAGAAATTGAAGCACATGCTGATAAAACATTCTAGTGGAGTAGCATGTTTGCCCACTAAAATATGCATATAAAGCCTAAGAATCCCCTATGGAGATTATTTTAAATGACAAACATTTCTTTAGAAATAAAATTCTTTTACTTCTGTTGCATGAGCCTCTCCTGTAAATTTCCAAAAATCGTTTATAATCAGGATTGCATATAAAAACTCTTCCACCTAATAGTCTAACATTTTCTCTGCTAGTTTTAGCCAATAATTAGTTGTACTAATCCTGTGTGGCCATGCCACGACTGTATACTTGGGCTCCGTTATATCTGATTCATGGAGAGGAGGTTCCCTTCATCTTGCACACACTCCAGTGACTTAACTGCTTTCAAACCAGACTGCAATAGGCTTCCATTCTGCACTTGGCCTTGAGATGAACAATGGGATTAACATGTGGTGTTTTTAAACTGTGAGAAGAGGTGCATTTGGCATTTGTAAAGATGTTGGACACCAGGCACTAGTATTTTCACTTTTGCCATTGAGTAGCCTGGGTCTATTTAGTGTTTCTCAAAGTAGGTTTCTCAAGAATAGACAGAAAGAGTGGAGTGCTTGAACACAGGCCTTGGTGTTAGGTGATGTTTTAAATCTGAGCTCTACCTCTTACTATCCCTGTGGCCATGAACCAAATTACTGACTTTTCTTAACTTCACTTTCCTATTATGTAAAATGAGAATAACAGTAAGGACAACCTCCTAAGGCTGTTGGGAGAAACTGAATAATACTTAAAGCATGTAGCACAGGGTCTAGAATATAGTTAGCTCTTCACAAATGTTAATTACCATTATTATTATTAGCCTGTGGAATGTTAATAGGTCTTTTCGGGAAAAGTTTAGGAAGCAGTGGGTTTCAAGAACTCAGAAAGGGTGTTGAGCGTAGCATTTCCCGTGGTATAGTAAAGGGGAGTTCCCAAACTTTTTGACCGGGACACCTATTTTCTATAAACCACTTGTATTGGTTTCCTACTGCCGCTGTAATTAACTTTGATGGGCCGATCAGGGAGATTGCCACAAATTTAGTGGCTCAAAACAACAAAAATTTGTTCTCTTACAGTCCTGGCCTCACCTAACTTCCCTGAGTCTGTTGAGCCTCCCCCCAGGCTGCAGTCAGGTGTTTGCAGGGCTGTGGCTCCTGGAGGTTCCTGGGGGGGCCTCTGGCAGCCCCGCTCTTACAGCTCCCCCAGGCTGTTGCGCTCCTTGGCTTGGGGTCCCTCTCCCACCCTCAAGGCCAGCGGCACGGTATCTCCCGATCTCCTCTGGGAGCTCTGCTTTCCCTGTCATACCTCCTCAGGTCTGCCCCTCTGGCCTTCCTTTTACAAGCACCCTTGCATTTAAATTGGGCCCATCGGGATAGTCCACATATTCACTCCATGGCAAGATCCTTAAAATAATCTCATGGGCAGTCTCTTTTGCCATAAAAGATAACTTATTTATAAATTCTGGGGAGTTGGATGTGGACATCTTTGTGAGATCATTATTCTGTCTGACCTAGGAGGTCTAGGGTCCTAAGGAAATAATTAAGAGAAACCTTAGACTGCATTAGCCAACAATTTAGGGGTTGGGGGCTAGCAAGGAAGTATAAGAGGAGAATATAACTGGGACATTCCATTTATACTGATGATAAGTTAATAGGGATGGTACAGCAGTCAAGGTCCCAAAGCAAAATGGATGGCACACAGGATGGTAGGGTGAAGGGAAGAAGGCCTTATAAAGTAAAAAGAAAGGGGCTTCTCTGTATGTGTCAGGGGGAGGGGACATGCCAGAATAGTGCCCATCTGTCTATCTTCCCTCCATCTGATGTCCTGCTAGGGCTGCCCACTGACTGAGCCCAACTGTAAAACCAAAGGACAGGACAGCCGTGGGGTAGGCCATTGGTCTCAAACTTGAGTCTGTGTCAGAAACACCTGGACGGCTTCCTAGAACCAGGCTGAGACCTGTTCCCAGGGTCTCTGATTCAGGAGGTTCCCAGGTAGTGCTAGGCTGCAGTCCAGGGGTACACTCTAGCAACCACTGAAATAGACCCAGTAGGTCAGGTTCTGGGGGCCGGGGCAGGGCATGGAGGGGATGCCAATGGATTTGGGTGGCCAACAGAAGACATCTGGCACAAAAGGCTAGAAACCGACAAATTCTGAACTACCACTGTTGACTTTAAGTTGATTTAAGTAAGGAATCCTACAAAGGTTGAAAGCCAAACAGGGTGGAGGAATTGAGGAGGTTTTCATGGAGGAGGTGGAATTTCATTAAAGGGATTATAAATACTTCAAAAGGAGGGGAGAGAGGAGGGAACCCAGGGGTAAGAGGTTCATGGAATAGGGCACATTGCTATGATCCCTTTTAGGAAATGTAATTGCCTAAGGGAAGCGATCTTGCTCAGTAAGAAAGTCAGTTTTGGGGAGCATATGGAAAAAAAGTTTATTGTGGAAGATGGAGGCAGAAAGATAGATAATAGTATCTGGGGGTGGCAAAAGGGGGCCAGCTCAGGTTCCTGAATAAGGGAATAATGTTATGAATGACTAAGATGCCTAGAAGGGGAAAAAGGCCGACTTGGTGACAATGGTTAAGGACAGCTTAAGAAAACTCTTAAAAGCTTGTATTGCAGTAAAACAAACAAGAAGAAAAAAAAGACCCTATTAGATTTGGAAATGAGAGGCTAGGTTTCTCGTTTAGGCTCTGTTACTAACCAGTTGGATAAGGTCGGTCCAAAACCGAACCACTCCGAAGGGAGTGGCTTTATTTTATTACAAGAGTGAGTTGTTTGCCTGGGGAAAACAGAGCAAATAGGAGAGACATTTCAAAGGCCACGCATATCCATACGTGGAAAATAGCAATGTCTGACAACCAGGGTGTAGAACCTGTCAATCTGTGCTAACAACAAATTCTAATCCTTGAATATATTGCATCCTTGGATTTATTGCTGGCCATGCAAGGATTACGGCTCATACTTCCAGAAGGTAACCCAGGTGTTCATGTGGTCTTTCTCAGACCTGCCTGGCTGAAGTAAGCAGTAGTTAGGTCCCTGCATGCTCTGCTCCTTAGCTCAGACAAATGGTCTCATGTAGTTGCCCCAGCAGTCAGTCCTCCTGTATCCGTCTTTTCTTTCTTCCCACTGCAGGCTTGAAATGGACAGTGAGGTCAGAGCTCAACTGCAGGAGAGACTAACATCTATTACTACATGGTGGGCAGAAACCATCACAGAATGCCTAGTTTTCTGCTAAAGATACGTCTGCACACAGAAGAACCATTTTTCTTTGCTTTAGGAATCCATGTGGCCAAGGCTGTGGTTCTGCTATTGGAAAGTGCTCTCCAATTTCTACTCATCTTTCTGTTTAAACATCTTGGCACGTCTAGAGTATGTGCAAGGGGAGCAATGGAAGCATGAGAAGATAAGGGTGTGTTACTTTATGGGCAAAGTTGTAGGTAGTTGCCCCAAAGGCAAAGTGAAGTGTAGGCTGAAGAGAAAACTAGTTTGTCACCAGAGAGGTAGGTGATAGAAAGGGAGACAAACTAGTTACACTTGTATGAGTGTCTATTGGCAGGTCAACAAGAAAACGAACAGAGGTTCAGATCTTTAATTTAGTTAGTTAAGATCCTAGTTAGGAATTGCTTTTTATTCTTAACAACAGATACCGAACTAAGTGGCTCAGATAAATTAGGGATTTACTTTCTCTCATTTAAAATAACCCTGGTGCTAGTAGTCCAGGGCTGGTATGGAAGCTCCATAGAATGGTTGTAGATCCACCTTCCCATTGCCTTTTTTGCTCTACCACCCTTGATGCATGACTTCCATCCTTAGGTCACAAAATGGCTGCTGGCATTCTAGCCGTTGCGTCATCTTGCTGAGTAGGAGGGAGGAGAAGAGCAAGTACAAACGGCTCTCTTACTGATGCTCCCTATCTGATATTTATGCACATGTCTCACCGGTCATCCCTATGTGTAAGACAGGACAGAAATGTAGTTGTTCAGCGGGACATATTGCTCAGGGTTCTAGTACTTAGGATCAAAGGATGAATAAATCCAACAAACTATGCCACAACTATTGAAGGG